ATAGTAATACAGTACCAGCTTTTATAATTGCCCATGTAGAAGGGGTCTTCAAAAAGTTCATGAAGGGATTCATATTGTCTTTTTTTTTTTTTTTTTCCTTTTTGTCTTTTTTCGTGTCTGGCAACGGATCGCAACCCTCAGTGTCGTGCCCGTACCGGACCGGGACCGGCAACGGGATCGCAACCCTCGGTGTTGCTCCCACACCTCGCTCAGCCAGTGAGCGGGAACCGGTCTGTATGTGGGATCCGAACCCTCGGCGGGAGTGCCGCCACGCTCCCAAGCGGCGCACTGTAGCAGTGCGCCACCAGGCCGGCCCTATTTTTTCTTTAAATTCTATTTTTCCATGAACTATTTGAAATATCCTCATATTTATTCTTAATGGAGATACTCATTTCTTCATCTGGCTTTGAGTTACTGTCTAGTATTCTTTCAACACGAGGGATTCTCTTTAGCATTTCTTTCATGGCATGTCTTTTGATAATGACTTACCTCAGATTTTATTTGGGAATGTCTTAATTTTTTCCTTATTTTTGAAGGAGAGTTTTGCCACATGCAAGATTCTCAGTTGAGGTTTTGTTTTGTTTTGTTTTTCCTCTCAGCACTTTGAATGCTACTGACTTCTGATCTCCAAGATTTCTGCTGAGAAATTAGCTGATAATTTTATTGAGGATCCTTTATTGAGTTGCTTCCCTTTTGCTGCTTTTAACATTTTCTTCATTTTTGGCATTTTCCAGTTTGATTACAATATATCTCAGTGCAGGTCTCTGAGTATATTCTACTTTGTGTTTGTTGAACTTCTTGGACTTGTGTATTTAGATCATGCATCAAATTTGGGAAGCTTCTGGCCATTATTTGTTCAAATAATCTGTGTCCCTTTCTCTCTGTTTTTTATTCTAGGACCCCAGAATGCCTCTGTGTCCACTTAATGGTTTCACACAGATCCTTTGGGCTCTATTCATTTTGTTTTTCAATCTTTTTTCATTCTGTTCCTTACACTTGGTAATTTCAATTGTTTTGTCTTCAAGGTTGCTGATTGTTTCTTTTGCCTTCTTGAATCCCTGTAGTGAATTTTTCATTTCAGTTTTTTTTTTAATTGTTTATGAATATTCGTGGGATACAAAGGCAATTGTTACCATTTGTGCCCAAGATGTAATGGCCAGATCCATACTGGCAGCATGCCCATTACCACAAATTGCGATTATACTCCATGTTTTCCTCCCAATTTTCACCAACCTACCACCCCATCCTCCTTTGCCTGACTCCACTTTGCATCCCTTGGTGTGCTGTTTTCCTCTGCAAGTCCAACACACCACTGTGGTCTTTCTTTCCTTCCCTTTTTCTCTCTTAGCTCACACTTATGAATGAGTACACGTGGTATTTATAAGTCCCTGTGTGCTTTGTTTCTTTTGCTCAACGTAAGTTTCTCTAAGCTCATCCATGTTGTTGCAATGGGAGAATTTCATTCTTCTTTATGGCAGAGTAGTATTCCATGGTGTGTATGTATATGTATGTATGTATGTGTATGTGTGTGTGTGTGTGTGTGTGTGTGTGTGTGTGTGTGTGTGTATATATATATATATATATATATATATATATACCACAGTTCCCTTATCCAATCATACATCAATGGATATTTAGGTTGGTTCCATACTTTGGCTATTGTGGACAGAGCTGTGATCAACATGGGAGTGCAGGTATCCCTTCAACATGATTTCCATTCCTCTGGGTATATACACAGAAGTGGGATTGCTGGATAGTATGAAAGATCTATCTGTACTTGTTTGAGAAATCTCCGTACTGTTTTCCATAGTGGTTGTACTAATTTACAGTCCCACCAACAGTGTGGAAGTGATCCCTTCTTTCCACATCCTCATAGCAATTGTTATTGTCTGTCTTTTTGATTATAGCCAGTCTAACTGGTGTTTTAATTTGCATTTCAGTGATGACTAGTGATGTCGAGGATTTTTTCATGAACCTGTTGGCTACTTGTATGTCTTCCTTTGAAAAATGTCTGTTCAGCTCCTTTGCCCCTTTTTTAATTGGGTTATTTGATTTTTTTACTGTGTAATTGCTTGAGTTCCTTGTACATTATGGATATTAACTTCTTGACAGATGCATGGTTAGCAAAAATTTTCTCCCATTCTGTAGGTTGTCTTTTCACTCTGTTGTTTCCCTTGCTGTGCAGAAACTTTTTAGTTTGAAATATTCCCATTTGTTTGTATTTTTCTTTTGTTGCTTGTGCTTGCAGGCTCTCATCTCAGTTTTGTACGTTTTAGCTGCAGAATATTTTTTTGGTTTCTTTTTGTTTTCTGCCTCTTTATTGATATTTTCATTTTGTTCATACATTGCTTTGCTGACTTTGTTAATGTCTTCTTGTAGCTCCTGGAGCATTATTAGTACAGTTGTTTTGAAAACTGTCTAGTAGGTTTACCATCTGTTCTTCCTCACAGACAGTTTCTGGTGATTTTTTTTTTTTTCCTTTGAACAGACCACACTTTCCTGTTTCTTCCTACACCCCATGATTTTTTAACTGAAAACTGGACATTTGAATCTGCTTTTTCTTTTCTTTCTTTCTTTTTTTTTTTTTGTGGCTGGCTAGTATGGTGATCCTGACCTCAGTGTTATTAACATCATGCTCTAACCAACTGAGCTAACTGGCCAGCCCTGAATGTTTTGATATGGTAACTGATAATCAGATTCTTCACTTCCCTCCTTTTATTTTAACTATTGTAAGATATTAGTCTCTTTGTTGGGATTCAGCTTGATGTGTAAACTGAACTGAGGTCTTGTGTCTTTTGTGGGCCCCTGTGCCTCTCCCTGGGTGCACATGGTGACTTTCTAACTTCCCTGTATAAGTAGCTATTTTTGAATATCATAGTCCTTAAAAGTATGGCTACCCAAAGGGGGAAAAAGGGAAAAAATGAATGGGAAAAATAATAATAAAATAGGTTTAGTTTGTTTAAATGTCTAGATGCCACTTCCGCCCTGAGGGAGTTGCAGCAGTACTGGTCCACCTCTGTATCCACACCATTTTGATCATATGTAGCCATCATTAATCAATGCAGATTCCTGATATTCTGAGATCTAAGTTCTTGTTGCCCAGCTAGAGCCTATAAGCTGCTCCAGGAATGTGCATATGGATGGCTGCCATTGGGTTGTGAGTTAGGTTGAGGGTATCTCCTGCAATACTATTGACTTAAATGAACTAAAATTAACTAAAACTTACTAGCTAAGTCTTCCCTAGTAAGTGCAAACCTTCAGAGTTCCAAAAATAATTCCATTAGACAGATTCTGCCAGTGCAATTATTGCCTAGGTAGGGAGATGAATTCCTGATTCGCTTTACTCTGCCATCTTCCTTGATGTCACTTTGATCTCTTGTTTCTCAACTGCCCTGCCATTGTACCACTGACTGCCACTCAATGTACTATATGATCTCCACAGTCAAAATTGAGTGTTATAACCCATGATTAGTCCAGTGTTCATGGTGGAGAATTCTCACTGCATTTTGTTTTCTTCATGCATTGTAATAATGAATACATGGAGTCTACCTTCTCCCTGCCCGTACCACCTTTTCCTCTTTCTTTATGTCTATTTTTTTAATTTAGATTTCATACATTATCATAATCAGTCTCTGGAAATAGTCCTTTTTCCTATTCTTTATTCACTCCACTTGCCAAATTAACTCCAGGTATCCAAAAATACAGCATAGCAGATGAAAATGCAACCGAGTCTTCAGAGCTGTTTGGTTATCTTAATATCTTCTCCACAGTTATTTATATCATTGTAAAACCACCACACCGTATCACCTCTTTCATGTGAGTGACTGTGCCTCTTATTTCTTAGAGGAAAGAGAAGCCATCAGCCTGTCAGCATCTTGCCATAAAGTGTAATTGGATCTGCACCCATCTCCCGGCATCCTTTTGTTTGCGTTTTTATCATTAATGTTTATTAGCCCAATACCTAGTATTTAGCAAAGCTTTGTGTAGTTAATATATCACCATTAGTGCAAGACAGTAATCACTTATTAGCTGCAGCACTAGTAATTTGTCATTACTACTGCTGTTAAAGAATACAGTTAAAATAGCCATGATACTGTTTTTAGTTATGTTCCTTTGGAGTGACAGGACAGACGTAGAGTTAATAGAGAATTTGTGCAGTATGTGTTGTCAGTTTAAATGTGCTGCCCTTCATAGTCATTATTATAAAAGTAAAATCACCAAAGTAAATTATTTTTTCCTAAAGGAATTTTTAAAAAGGTGTTTATTTAATAGCTATAAGTGTGTTGCCTGTAAGCATACTTGATAGGGTGCTTGAGATGTCACTGTTGCTCTTGAAATGTTTAACTGAAAAATATTTTATTATTCATTAATCTTCATAAATTCTATACTCAAGTATCAACTAGACTGCCATTTTATATGTTAGTGTAAAATAGAATTCTGTCTTCTAAATCTAAAGCTGACTTAACTCGCAAAGAATCCCAAATGCTGCTTGTTATATTCTAATTTTGATGGCTGTTTTAATGAAATAGTTTTTGTGTGTTCTTGTAGAAAAGAAAAACTGGATGGTATTTATTCCTAAGAAGTTTTTGAGTCAGTGTTTTGATTTAAAGATCAGTTTTTGTTTTCAACAGGAAAATTAAGATTAAAATTATCTTTCTGGGCTGGCCCTGTGGCTCGCTCAGGAGACTGCAGTGCTTGTAGCGCCAAGGCTGTGGGTTCAGATCCTATCTAGGGATGGCCAGTGCGCTCACTGGCTGAGAATGGTGCAGACCACACCGTGCTGAGGGTTGCGATCCCCTTACCAGTCAAAAAAAAAAAGATTATTTTTCTTTCTATACTAAATTATTGCATACTTTCCTGCATACATCTGGAAAAGAGAGGAGTACAAAAGTTTCCATGGTTGTAATTGCAGTTCTTCTGGCTGTAATATTAGTTCTTACATCTGTAATTCAAATGTTCTTAACTGCATTTCCTAAAACTAATGTGCTTGTTAATTTTAGCTGGAGGACAGCAAGAATGTTCAGAAGCAAACGAGGATTCTGCAGAAGAAGCAAGCCCAGATTGTGAAAGAGAAAGTTCTCTTGCAGAATGAACACAGCAAGGCTATTTTGGCAAGAAGCAAACTAGAATCTATTTGCAGGGAGCTTCAGCATCTCAATAAGACATTAAAGGTTAGTTGGTTCAGTTTTCTGTTTTTCGGGAAGTACTTAAACATTGATTTTATGGATTACCTTGTACCTATTTGGAATAAGTCCTTGTCTGTACTTGCTTAAATAGGAATTGCATGTAATGGCTGGTGGTTGATGACTCCCCAGTATACTTGTGCTGATAGAAAAGGATCCTAAGCAAAGGACTTTATGGGGTTCTTGGAGACAGACATACTATTTTGTTTTTTATTTTGCTTGAGCTAATGCTGTGTGGAAAGTCATTGTAAATTTAAGGCTTACTCTTTCCATGTTTTAGTTTCCTGCTCAAGTACGAGCTCCTTCCTTAATGTACCTTATGCTTGATCACAGACAATCTAGATGACGTTAATATTCATGTCCTCAGCTCTTCTGCTTAGGAAGTTCAGATTGCCAGATTTTCTGCTGACCACTGATATAGTTGATTACCATGTCCTGCTCTGGTAAGAAATGAAACGCTTAGCTGAAATGAAGAAAGTAGTAGCAATAGACTTGAGTCATCATGAGATTAAGGGGGAAAAACTGACTGCAAGCTCTTCTATGAATGTTAATTGTCTGGACTGCTGCTCATCCTAAGCTGTTCAGTTGCTAAATACTTATTAAAAAGTTCTTATAGTTAGGCTAATTATAAAGGCAGAGGGAGCAGGTAACAAAATTTGTGATCAATAGGGGAAGAAGGAAAAGGAGCAGAGACTCTAAAATAATCTGCCATGTATCGGGGAAATTGTTTTCCCTTGTGGTAGTAATTTTAGGAAGGTATGTAGTTGCAGGATGATTTTGATTGTGTAGGATCTCCAATGATTACCTCATTATAGCAAACTCTCCAGGACCTATAATGTAGGAATATAGGACTGTTCATGAAGTGAATTCTTACCTGATGTTAGGCTTTTCTTTTTCTTTCTTTTCTTTTTTTTTTTTCTTTTGAAACCTTGGATTTAGATATAGTAAAAGTGGATGATATTATTTTTCATAGCAAGTCTTTTGACACTTGTATCCTAGTAAGAGTTTGAAAGTAACCTTTGTAACTCCATTTGTCCCTTGTCCCTTAGGAAATGGAAGATCTGGCTGAGAAAGTAAGCTGTGAGATCTTCAGGCCAATCTAGCATGATATCCTGCCATTGAGGAGGATATTTGGGAAGAAACTGTGTACCTTATATTTAGTATAGTGAATATGTAGATGGTCAGATAACACTTATTTTATAAAGAGCAGTTGGCATTTCTCTGATTATATACTTAGGAATAGCTACTTGCTTTTAAATGAGTGCTCTCTGGTCATTAATAAGGGGGAAACATATAGTTAAGAAGAAACCGTTTAGGGCAGCAAAAGTAAACTCATAGTAGCAGCTCTTTTTTTGAGAGTTTTATCTTTATGTCTGTACTATTAACATAAATTATTTTGGATACTAAGGAAGAAAACATGCAACAGTCACGGAAGGAGGAAGAAACTCATAAAGAAGCAACTGCACATTTCCAAATTACTTTAAATGAAATTCAAGCACAGCTGGAACAACATGACATACACAATACCAAACTCCGACAAGAAAACATCGAACTGGGAGAGAAACTGAAGAAGCTCATTGAACAGTATGCACTGAGAGAGGAGGTAACAATGTTTGGTTTTCTTAGACAGCTTGTCAGTGTTAGCAAAATCCTGTCACCATTCACTAAGGAAGTAAAGTTATTGTCCCAGGACAATATTGAACTTTTGTATATGCCAAGTGAAAGGCATTTGTTAGGAAAGGAGCAGGAACCACATGAAAAAAACTAATTGGGGTCATCACTTTGCCCCAGGAGTCAGTGGATTTGATTAAGTAAAGTAATTTCTAGGAGACATGGTAAGCACTACTTGTCTGTCATGTAATACTGGAAAATTATGATTTTAGCATATTTTCTTTTATCCAGACAAATACTCTATATCTCAGATTTAAGTGCCATTGCATTATATCTGCTATTCTAGCCTTAGTACCAAAAATATGGGCATTATGATATTTGAGAGAAAAAAAGAACCTACATATAACCCATCACCTACTTGTATTGGTGGCCTCACTCCCAGTGAAGTAAAAGGTTTACCAGAAGGATCCAGAACTGCTAAACCTGGGTTATTTTACAAGGTAGTCTGGTACTTAGGTAGTGCCTAGATTAAAAGCTAATAAGAATAACCTGCTTAAGTTTTACTTTTAAGGTCAAATGCATAGGGGTAATAGGCTTTGTATTTTCAAAGGGTATATTCCCTATCTTTGTTATGCGTTAAGCTAGTAAAATGTGCTTTTAATGTGTGTCGAACCCCTTACAAAAGTATAGTGAAATTGCTAATTCAAAAAGATTATGACCTACTTAAAATGATTAAAACAGTAGATTTTATGTTATGTATAGTTTACCACCCCAACAACAAAAAAAACATTTATATACTATTCAATACAAATGTCAGATTATTCTGATTTATGGTTTTCTATATTAACTTTGGAAACTTTGTTTTCTTAAAGATTTTGAGCATCTTTTTAGCATTCCCTTCTTTTAGTAGTTTTCTTTTATTTATTATTTTTGGGGGTTTTTTGGTCCACTGGCTAGTATAGGTATTGAACCCTGGACTTTGGCACTACAGTGTAACCAACTGTGTTAACTAGCCAGTTCCCTTTTAGCAGTTTTCTCCCTTGTTTTGGTTAAGTTGCAACCTTAAAGCTGATTCTTCTATCAGGTAGCTTCAGCAGTTATCTATTTGTACATAGTAATTCTTATTTCAACTATTTGGAAGCAAATCCAAGATGGCATATTATTTCACTGATCACTGTTTGGATGTCTTGAAATAAGACTCTTTAAAGAATAACCAAAGTACCTTTTTTTTTTTTTTTTTTTTGTCTTTTTGTCTTTTTCTGTGTCCGGCAACGGATCACAACCCTCAGCGCTGTTCCCGCGCCTCGCTCAGCCAGTGAGCGGGAACCGGTCTGCATGTGGGATCCGAACCCTCGGGCAGGAGCGCCGCCGCACTTCCCAAGCGGCGCACTATCCAGTGCGCCACCGGGCTGGCCCACCAAAGTACCATTTTTAAGTTACATAATAAGTACCATTTTTAAGTGTACCTATTTAAGTTACAACTTATTTACATATCTTGTCACTATATAGATTTCTGTATCCTCCCCTCCTTGTTTAAATCTAGTTCTAAATAAGGTGTTTCATTGATTGATAAGTCAAGTCTTTTTAATACATGCATTTTCTCTTTGTTTCTCCAGTCCTTGCAGCATATTTATTGAGGAAATGTTTTAGGCATAAAGAGAATTTTCTTTTAATTAGTTTTGTTTCATAGAGTTTTCAATGTTCTTACAAGGATTTAAAAATTTTTATATTTTTTTTTAAGAATGATGTACTTCCTTACCACAAATGTAGCAAATGTGGAAAGTATATATGTTCAAGTTATATTACTTTTAAGCCTTGTTTGCTTGGGTATTACAGAGTTTCCTTCCTTTCCCCTATTTTTTGGTTAGGATATAGTTGAGTAATGATCAAATTATTTGCAGTTAAAGACAGATTATCTCTTGCACGCTCCTCCAAACTTAACTAGGATTCCTCTCACAAAGGATGTTGTAACTGAAAGAGGTACTATTTTTCTACATGAGAGAGTATGTTCTGATAAGTCTATTGTATACAATAACCACTTAACAATTTAACTTAGAAATAGTAACAAGCACTTATCAGATGTCTAATATGTGCCAGGCATCAATCACCTGACATAGTTTAATCATTGCATTGATTTGTACAACCTACCTCCTGCAAGGTAGGTGTGGTTATCCACCTTTGCAAATAAGAGAACCGAGTTATCAAGGAAAATTTGTCCTGGGCCATATTGATAGGCTAGGATTTGTCCTAGTCATTCTTACCATTGTGTCTTGTTGTCTACAGCTAAAAAAATTTGGTAAGTTTAAATGAGAAAAAATGTCCAGGAATTATGTGTATGATGAGTGAAATTAATAGTTTGATCTTCTTATTCAGTTTTTTCTTGGTAACAGTTTGAACCTTATTTTCCATGTAGGACAGAAACAGGAAATACAAAACTCGTGATAAAACAACTTACCTCTGACAAGGCTGGGCACAAGACAGTAATCAGGGGGCAGTGGTACTGCATGTGTGGGAATGTTGTGAGGTGCTGATAGGTAGGGGTTTTATGCAAGTGCAGAGACAGAGTTCTTAGCTATGGTGGTATTAGTAGGAAAGGAGGGTAAGCAGGGTGTCGTAACTTGTGTTATGTTTCTTTCCCACTGTGTTTTCTTTGTTTGTTAAGTGATGGAAGAAATTTTGCTTTTCCTGTAGCATATTGATAAAGTGTTCAAACACAAGAAACTGCAGCAACAGCTTGTGGATGCCAAGTTTCAGCAAACAACACAGCTGATAAAAGAAGCTGATGGAAAACATCAGAAAGAGAGAGAGTTTGTAAGTGCTACTTCCAAAAAGAAATTACTGCCAAATTATAACTAAAACCATTTAAAACATTTAACTTTGTTTTTCATTTAACATAGGTCCGGGGCATGCATAGGTTTTTGTTGTTGTTGTTGTTTGTTTGTTTTATCATTTAGATTGACAAGGGAGTATGTGTGTGTGTGTGTGTGTGTGTGTTATAATACATTCAGCTTGTTATTTATGATGAAATTTTTATGTAAAAATATATTGGAGATATTAGGTCAAGTTACTGAGAAAAGGTGCACATTTGATTTTTCCATGCTTAGATTATGATATTCCTTACCAGCTTCAAGAAACTGTGCTAGTAATTTGTCAAGTTAGACTTGAGAGCTGGGAATAGTTAAATTTCGTAGTGAGTTTTCTAAATAAATGTTTCCTGTGTACTGCTATATTTTGTTTTTAAACAAGTAACTTGAAAATAGATAAGCTATTTGTTTATTTAGTCTGGTTTAATTTTCTGATACAATTTAACAGAATCCTCTGTTGCCTAATCTCTCAAATTTGTTGCTAGAGTATGTGCTCAGATTATTTTGCCTGAACACAGTGAAATCGCATTGAATATGTACAGATACCATATGCAAGTCCAGTTATATATACTGTGGATGAGTGAATGAATGTGAGGAATAAATATAATATAGTCTATCCAGCATTTCATTCAACTAGTGTAGTCCCTGAGTTGAGCATAGTTTGAAGATTCAGTTACTGAGTGTTCCTCGTGATGTGAACATGAGATTAGGGTTTAGAGAAATGCATTTCTCAAGCAGTATGGATCTTCAGTGCAAGCCAACAATGGTATCAGTGCACGATTGAAAGCAATCATTACTTCCAACTTGGAGTATAAATAATGAGTGTATGTGTACATGCATATGGATACATACCACATATGCATGTATATTACATGTGTGCAGTTTCTGGTTGGCTTAAAGACCTTTTAAGGCTTATTTATATAATGTGACATTTTACTTGAGAAATTCAGACTGAATTTCATATCTGCCTGCTGTGCAACTTTATGTTATTTTTTCTGAAAACCCCATGTATAACCTAGCCTATTCTCTTCCCCAAGGCTGTTCTCATAGTTTTTAAAATGTGATCAGAAACTTGGTCTCTCTTTTTACTGTTTTGCTGTATATTGTTTCATCTAGCCTCTTATAGAGTATATTAAGATTCCTAGACATGTTTTCTGTTTATAAGTATATATATGTAGTTATTTTCATCTAAAACACAATTCAACTCTGAATTAAAAAAAAAAAATTCAGTTGACATAATGGTTGTACATACATGTGGGGTACAATATGATATTTGTGTTTTGTTTCTTTTCTTTTCCCAACTCATTTCTGTAAAGGTTTATTTCAATTTATCTTTCTTTCTTTTTTTTTTTTTTTTTTTTTTTGCGGCTGGCTGGTACAGGGTGCTTGACCTGGGTGTTATAACACCATGCTGTAACTAACTGACCTAACTGGCCACATGTACATACTGTGCAATGATCAAATCAAGATAATTAGCATAACCATAACCTTAAACATTTGTTATGTCTTTGTGCTGAGAACATAAAAAAAACCTCTGTTCTAGCTATTTGAAGGTAAGCAATAAATTGTTACTTAGAGTCCCTCTACAGTGTTATAGAACACTATAACTTATTCCTACTATCTTGCTGTACTTTTGTATTCATTAATCAATCTCTTCCTACCTCCTCCTACCCACGAATCTTCCTTTCCACCCTTTACTTCAGTAGCTACTGTTCTGTTCTTTACTTCTGTGAAATCAACTTTTTCTAGATTCCACATATCAGTGAGATCATTTAGTATTTGCTTTCAGTGCTTGGCTTATTGACATAACATAATGTCCTCCAGATCCATTCACGTTGCCGCAGATGACAGGATTTCACTTTTTTTATGGCTATATGGTATTTCATCATGTAAGTACACTGTATTTTCTTTATCCCTTTGTCTATTGATGGACAGTTCAGTGGATTCTGTATTTTGGCTAGTGTGAGTAGTGCTGCAGTAAAAATGTGGCTGCAGATATCTCTTTGGTATACTGATTTTCTTTCTTTCTGGATTTCTGGATCTTGTGGTATTTCTGTCTGTAGTTTGAAAAACTACCATACTGTTTTCCATAATGGCTGTACTTATTTAATTCCCACCACCACTGTGTTAGACTTCCCTTTTCTTCACATCCTCTCCAAAGTTTGTTATTTTCAGTCTTCTTGGTAACAGCTAGTCTAATTGGTGTGAGATGATATCTGTGTGGTTTTGATTTGCATTTCTACAATGACAAGTAATGTTGAGGGGTTAAAGACTTAACTGTAAGATCTGAAACTATGAAACTTAAAAGAAGAGAACCTAACAGGAAAGCTTTAGGACACTGGTCTGGGCAAAGATTTCGTGAACAAGAACAAGACCTCAAAAGCAAAAATAACAAATGGAATTAAATCAAACTAAAAAGCTTCTGCACAACAAAGGGAACGCTCAACAGAAAGAGAGCACCTGTAGAATGGAAGAAAATGTTCACAAAGTATTCATCTGACAATGAGTTAGTGTTCAGAATATGCAAGAAACTCATCAACAATAAAAAACAAACTGATTAAAAAGGGGATGAATAACATGAATAGATACTTAAGCGGAGAAAGCATACAAATGGCCAACTACATGAAACAATTCTCAAACTCTAGTTTTGTGAACCTTATTATGCCTTTTTTCTCCTTAAGTAGTTAAAGATTACTTCTACATTCCTAAATATGAATAAATGTAACATTAAAGATAGAGTAGTTGGCAGTTGAGATAACAGGATGTTTCATTCCTTGACCTGTGATCTTTGTTAAAATAATGAGTGGAGGGCTAAGCCTAACTATCAGATCATTTGACATTTTAGCAATATGTTTAATTGCTATTAGTATTTTACCAGAATGTTTCTATTTTCTAGTTATTAAAAGAAGCAACAGAATCAAAGCACAAATATGAAGAAATGAAACAACAAGAAGTACAACTAAAACAGCAGGTAATTTGACAACAGAGGATGTTAGAATTTGTGTCTCTTTGTTCCCAGTCAGAGACATCTAGAACAAAGGAATTGATCACATATCCTCCTGGAATTTTCCTTTATTTATGTGACCAATTCATACCGAATTGCCCATGATTCTTCTTGATATTAATACTGTTATTAAACCCCTCTATTATTTCAATATCCCCTTTCTACTTTGCTAGATATTCTCTCTAATAACTTTAGAATTTTTTTCTATGAGCAAATACATGTAGTTTAAAAAATCTGCACATGCTCAGACAGTCATACTCCCAGGTGTGGTTGTGTGTGTGTGTTTGCTTTTTTAAAAAATTGAAGGTCTCCCTGTTTTTCAATCCACATCACTAGTGTTTGTGGTTGCTTTGTGCAAAATGGAGGAAACAGATGGTGTATCCTTACTGAAAGGAAGGGCAAAGGAAAGATTGTGCTTCTCATCTTTGAAATTTTAGTTATACTGATCAGCACCTTTTTAAATTACCTAGATTACATTGTTGAAAGAGTATTACATATCTTAAAAGTTTACTGTATAGTAAGTTTAATGTAAGGACTCTTAATTAGTTCTGAAATACATTTTAATATATTGACTGGCATGCATCTTTATGAAGACCAGTTACCTGCTTACCTTTGGGAACATTTTATAATGTAGTGGTATCATATAAAGCTAACCTAACTTAGAGTAAAAATTCAAGAGGCATAAGGTATCAGAAATCTTTGGAACTTCCCATCATAAATTATGACCATGTCGGAATGCTTCCAGTAGATTGAACTACTTCATTATTAGCACTGTCTATTCAGTTGTCCATATAAATGGAGATAACATCGACGAGAAAGTATAAAGTCTGCAGATAGCTTCAGAAGATGTTCTTGAATGTGGGAGTCATCGATAATGCTACATTGGAAGTCAGCAGAGGTCTTTTACCAAGACCATAGGCCACTCCCATTCTGTATATTGTCACCAATTTATCTTCTGTTGCCTGTGATCTGTGTCACCCTGAGTTCTCTTAACCAATTTTTACTCTATTTCTTTTGCTATCACTTCTTTACCTAGTACCTAAATGTGGCTGTTCTTCCCAAGAGTCTTTCTCAGTCTCTGCTCTTACCATGTCATTTGTCAGCAGTTGATGATGGTATTCAGTTGTTGTGTCTTGAACATTGCTTTGTAATCCGGGTCCAGTTGTGATGGCAGTTACCACTTTCTGACTACCCACTGTGGGCCAGCATTGAACTCTGAGATGGGACAATTTTTACCTGCATGTTCCATCTTCAATAGAAAAGAGGTATGCTAAAACTGTCCTAACTTCTAATGTCTCTCAGGTGCTAGAAATGCTCCCTTACTCTGCCTGAGCCACCAACATTGTTCCTAACTCCTACCCAGTAACCTCAGAAGCATTGTCGTTGTGTGCTTCCTCTACCGTTTATTACTGTCCACTAATCAATCCTGTGCATTCTTCTCCAGCTCATGCCTACATTTCTATTCCTGCTCTTTTTCTTCATCCTAGCCCATGCCCTCACCTTTCAGTAGGCATGGTTTGGCTGTCTTCTGATAATCTTTGCTACCTTAATGTTGCTACTAACACACATTTTGGTCTGTCTCCACCACCCCCTGCACAAACACAAAACAGAGCTTGCTTCTAAGAGCCTCCTTTATGCCCTGTATTACCTGACAGCTGTAGGTAATACAGGGCATAAAGGGTGTGGTCATAACTGGGTTTGGTCATTCTTTGCTGTCTTATTCAGGTGTCTCTTTAATATTCTTAATACAGCATTCCTGAAAACTAAAAGGCATTGTTTGTGCTGTTTCTTGGCCCCTTATAATCTTTTATTCCTTTCTGCTTTTCTTGGCCAAAGTAATATATAGTCTAGGCCTGTTTCCTGAATATAATGTGATTACTTTAGGCTGTCCCTATAGGATTTTCTCCTGGTCTAAAGCAAAATCATTTAGCCCCCACTTCATGCCTAACTGAGGCCTTACCTACATGAAGCTTTCTGTACCTGTTCTGATCCTTTTAATGTGCTTTTCTCACCTGCTTTTCTGAACTGTGGTTCTAAGGGAGAGAAAAAAATAATTCTGAATTTTATGTTTGCTTCCGTTGCTGGTTAGCATTATTTTCCAAGCCAGAATAAAAATTCCTCGATGGCGGGAGATTAAAAGAAACTTAATGTTTCTTCACCCTTTAGCTTTTCTTTTTCAAAACTGTAGTTTAAATTGTTTTCTGCACACTAAATTCTTTCTCCCTCAACCAAATCATTTGTCATCTGCTTATTTTCCTGCCACATTAAAGAAAACGGTAGCTTTGAAAAAGGCAGTCTGTCGAGCAGGTAGTACCTAAAAGAATGATGTTTTTTCCAAGGATAGCTTGTCAAATGTATGGAGAGTAATACTTAAAGTATTATGATTATATGAAATTTATTGTCATACACTATACTTCAGTTTTTATTATAATTTATGGAATGAAGCTAATAAGTGTTTATACATTTTAAGCATTCACCTTTAAAGATGATGCAGCTAACAAATACATTTTAATACATTTCAGTGGGTTGCACAAATTTCAGCTGACTGTTCTTGCTGTTTAAGGATTAGGTGTGTGCATTTGTTGATATTTTAGTTACATATAACAAGTAGCTAATGTTCATTTGAAAGTCTTCGGGATTTTAAAATGTTTAGCTGGAACTCAGAGTATTTCATAATTTTTTCTGTAGCTTTCTCTTTATATGGATAAGTTTGAAGAATTCCAGACTACCATGGCAAAAAGCAATGGACTCTTTACAAGCTTCAGGCAGGAAATGGAAAAGGTATTTACATGTTTTTTAGTAGGATATCATATAAAAAGGAATGTATACGAGGATATATTAAGCATAATTACCACTTAGATTAATTTATATACTTGGATAAATATTTAACTTTATCATTTCTGATCTTTTATCAGCTCAGTTTAGGTATTTTGCCCTGAAATTACCCCAGGTTGCTAATCATCTTAATACTCTAAAAATTTTCTCATAATTGGAGATAGTTTACACAACTCCTCTGTTAAAGACAGTTTATTAGTAGAGTTATTTATTACTTATTTTCAATTACTTTAGGTAAACACTCCTCAGTTCTTTCACAAAGGCTTACGTAAATTATTATTTTTTTAATGGCTGGCTGATTAACTTGGTTAGAGCATGTTGGTAATATCAATGCCAAAGGTTCAGATCTCCACCACCCCCCCCTCAAAACAAAAGAAAGAAAAAATATACAAAATTTTAGGCAAAAGAAATTAATAATATATTTGGTTGGAATAGATTTATTTGTGAAGTCCTCTCTAATACCTGAAATATTTTTACTCTTTCAAATTTGAACTTTACACATAATATATATAGGGGCATCCTTAATTGCTATAAAGTTTAAAAAGCAGTTGTTAAAATTACTTGTAGAAAAACAACTAATTGTGTGTTATTCCAGTTCAGAATAAAGGATAAAAAGCAATTTTAAAGGGCAGAATTATGAGAATACTTTAAGAAGTTTCTGGAGAAATGGAATTAAGATTGAGCTGGTCAGTTAGCTCAGTTGGTTAATGGTCAGGGCCCAGGGTTTGATGCCTGTAACAGCCAGGCCACCAAAAAAAAAAAAAAAGATGGCAATACAAACTTCTAATGAATTTTTTTGAAGTACCCTCATGTCTGCCTCTTTCCCCAGGTAGCATGGTGGCTTAACAGAGCATAGACTGTGGAACCAAAATCTATTATTTGCCACTGTGTGACTTCCTTAGGACAAGTTATTTAGGTTGGCATTTCCCTCTTAAAGTTGGGATTTTTAGATATGATTACCGATTGGGGATACTACAGAAGTGCCTGGGGATTTTGTAGATGTTAGTCATGATTTTTATTAGATCTTACATAATGGTTGAATTTAGTTAAATTTCCTTACTTAATAACCTTACAGTGTATAATGTGTGACTGTGACAAGTTGTTTGACTTTTTATGCCTTTCTATTCCTTCATTGTTAAAAATAATAACAAAAATATCTGTTGTGTTTTAAATAGTGCTTTTTCATGTTAAGTGATGACATTACCACATTCAGTTATTTTTAGTCTCAGTAATCTGGAGAATTCATTGAGCAGCAGATTAGTTCTGCCTGCCAGTCCTTTCATTTTAGACTCCAGTGAAGGATGAAATTGTTAGGCCCAGTGTGTTATCTAAACTGTAATACATGCTCATTGTTGAACAGTTAAGTCAAGAACTCCCAAATTCTCTGTCTTTCTGGAGGATAGTGGACTGGAACATGTTCTTTTCTGCTAGTGTTTACAGATGTCACTGTAGTGTCCCAGTTTGCCTTGTAACAGTTTTGTGTGTAATTTCTCAAAGCACAGGTGTTTGTTCTGTCTCATTCTTGTTGTCTTCAACGTCGCCTGGCTCCTTTTCTGTACTTGCAACAGAGCTGATTGGAAGTTCTAGTTAAATCTTACTCCTAGTTTCTAAAAATTGGGTTCTTGTAACATAGATTATTCCTCCCCTTATTTTTGGACCCATCTTATTGTTAGCAAAATTTGAAGTACAGTAGTCTTGTCAATTGAGAAAATTGAGTAAAGGTAAGGATTCAACAATTTTGGTACCATTTTCCTGGTCACTTACTTAAATTATGCCACCTCTAGTTGTAATACTGATGTGACATCAAATTCTTAATCTACCTTGGAGTTGAGACTTTTATCTTTCTAAGAATCTAATGGATTCATTTAATGTACTGTCTCTTTCTAGAAAACTGTTGAACATGGACATTTTTTCATATAGCTTTGGAGGAAAGGTCTTGGCTCTTAACTACCTGTAGCTGGAATGATCTGCAAGCCAGCCTTAACTGAGAGTTCAGAGTGTGCTTCCATGTACTACTTCCTCTGAATCTGAGATCAAATTTGTTCTTCTGTTAATGAGAAACCTCTACTTTGGTTCCTGTTGCTGCCACAGTAGGAGTTTGTGTGAGATAAGCTCTGTTAACAAAAGACGTGTACAGTTATTGTTCTAAAGAAACACAGAGCTGTGTCAGCTGGTTGAAGCTAGTGCAGTGATGTGGAAGAGAAGAACATTATAAAATGATTTTTGTGGTGGGTCAGGGAATCAAACTTAGAATTTAAATTTGTGATTGTGATGATTCACAGATGACAAAGAAAATTAAAAAACTGGAAAAAGAAACAATAATATGGCGTACCAAATGGAAAAATAATAATAAAATACTTCTGCAAATGACTGAAGAGGTGAGAGGTTTTACATGATTAAATAATGAGTACTCATTATTTCAGCATAAGGAAGTTTGGAGCTTCTGGAGTTTTCCTAAGTACCTGCGGGTTTCATTATACGGTCTTTTTACTGCAGTAAGTTAGGTTGTCTTGGGTGAGATATTTAAACTTCTTTACCCCAGCTAATTAGCTTAGACTTGTGTTATAGACAGCTGCAAAGTACAGTTGTGTCTGTGTCTTTTGCAGGTTGGTTCCAGGACCTCACACAGATACAGATCCACAGATGCACAGGTCCCTCCCTGATATAAACAGGCATAGTATTTGTATATAACCTTGGCACATTGTCCCAAATACTTTAAATCATCTCTAGATTACTCATAATGCCTAATGCAATGTAAATGCTATGTAAACTGTTGTTACACTGTTTTTTGAGAACAATGACAAGTGGGGGAAGAAAGTCTGCACACTTTTAGTACTGATACAATTTGGGGGGGGGGTTATTTTTGGTTTGCTTTTGGCTCAATCCAGAAATATGGTACCCACAGATTTGAAGGACCCACCTGTATCTAGATTTTGCTTTCTTCCATAGCAGAGTTGAGCTTGCATAGACTGAATCTTTTTAAATCTAGTAAGCTCCTTCCATTGTTTTTAACTCATTAGACTCTAACGAGTATCCGGGTAATGCTGGTTTAAGTACCATAACTTTTATAATCACTGCTCTCTATAGAAGAGAGAGCTTTATTCAGATTTCCCATGGGGAGAACAGAAGCTAGTAGCTCACTTATTTTCCATCTTGACATATTCTTTTCCAGAAGTTAGTGAAGTCCTTTTTCCCAGGTTTGCTGTAAATACATCTGAGATGTGTTCAATTTGTAATCACTAAACTTTGTACTTACATACCTTGATAAACAATAGTTTATAACATTTCACAACAGAAAATGTTGGGGCACTTGTATTATTCTCGTCTCAGAAAATGGAAAACCCATGTAAAAACAAGAGCTTTAATTAACTCTTATTGCTGCATTTTTTCCTTAACATTTTCTCAAATTACTTTCATTGTGTCAATAGTAATTTATACAGCAATAATTATTTAATAATATTATAGTTTGTAATGGACTGATTGAGTTAGATGTTTATAATTAGCAACCTCCTCAATTATCCTCAGAGTAGAGTACATCAGTTAGAATGGCTAAAATTATTTATACCTGGTTTGAAAAACTGCCAGCAGATGAAAATAGCAGCTGCCCTTAATAATTGGATATGATTATGTTTTATGTATTTTAAATACAATCTTACATCTTTACTTCAAGAGCTTATTAGATAAGAAGAAATAACCAACTAAGTGTGGTTCATGTTATAATCTTAATTAAAATTGACAAGGTTCTGGATTCAGAATTGTTTTTCAGAAAGTAGAGATGTGCAGTCTCTGGATGAACTGTATTTCATATAAAATAGACTTAAGTTACAACATTAACTGTGCTTTTATAAGAAAATATTTGCTATCGTGTTTTATTAAGATCCTCAGTTTCCTTAATATTTGACTTAAACTCAAGAATTGAGTTTTGGTTACAGAAATATGACAAAGAGAATTTAATTTTTATTGCAGTGCTCTAGAATAATTTAAAATGTTTAAAGTAGCAGTTGGTATGTAGTAAGGTTCAGGATGTAATAAAAAGTAGTTTTTATTATGGCTGACATACCTCATATCCTTGGTTCTCTATCTGCAAATTCACCTAACCTTGGATCAGATATATTCGGAAAAAAGAATTCCATAGTTTCCAAAAGCAAAACCTCAGTTTGCTGCACGCCAAGCACTACCTTTCATCCACATGAATAAAGTGATGTGTAGGCATTCTCTTAGGTATTATAAGTAATCTAGAGAGGATTTAAAATATGTGGGAGGATGTGTATATGTTATTTGCAAATATTATGCCATTTTATAGGAGGGGCTTGAGCATCAGTGGGTTTTGGTATGGGGGTGGGCTAGAATTAATCCCCCAAGGGCTGTACTTAGCTTTATATACTGATTTGTATTGTAAGCTGATTTGTATTTAATGAGGTTACATAAATGATCTTTTTTTTTTTTTTTTTTTTCAATAGAAAACTGTTCGTGATAAAGAGTACAAAACCTTTCAAAAAAAACTGGAACGGTTAGAGAAGCTGTGCAGGGCTCTTCAAATGGAACGAAATGAGCTCACTGAGAAGGTGGAAGTCTTGAAAGAGCAGGGCTCTGTAAAAGCAGCAGGTATAGATTTAGCAGTGCCTGTGACACAGCCCTGTGTTGCCCTGGATTCTCAAGAGGAGCTGAATACTTCCTGTAAAAGAGCTCCAGGAGTTCCACTAGAGGATGAGGTCAAGGAAGTGAATGAAACAAAATGCCTGTCAAAAGATCATGTCTTCACAGGATCTCTTCTAGGCATTCATTCAGTTGACTAAGATGAAATGTGATCACTGTATTAAGAGAGGTGTATTTTGTATACACCCTTCTCTGTTAGAAGTAACTATTGTTTATTGGTTTTGCAGTGAAAACTTCCATACTTTTTCTACCATGTCTGAATTTTTTTAGAATTACTAGATGATGGGGTACAGAAGGCTACCTAGAAGTTTTGCATTGTTTTAATCTATATATTACCATAGCCGGGTTGTACATTAGCCATATTTTTCCACTTTATTAAAATCTGTGTGTTCTTTGCCTTATCTCTACCCCTTGCACACAATTATCTTAATTAAATTGAGACTTGTTTTGATAGTGGTTTTTTGATGTGAAAACAAATACTAATTTAAACTCTCTAGCCCATAATATTAAAAGAAAATATAAAGTTGATTAGTTTTGCCCAGTACATTTATATGCCAGGTGAGAATAAAACTCGAGTTTCAAGCATGACTTATTTGATTCAGATTAGTCTTTTTGATATTTATGTAACTTGACAAATTGAGATTACCATAGGCCTTTAACCTCTCAAGAGCTGGCAGAATATGTAAATGAAGATGAGAATTGTAAAGAATGTAGTCTATGTAGACAAGTCATTAGCCACGCAGGGCAAGTCATTAGACACACAGGCTTAATGTTTATGTGACTACAAATAGTCCTGTTTTAGTTTCAGGTTAGAACAGATATTAAAAGAACAAAAATCAGTATGTAATTCTCCGCAGTTAGAATGAGAAGTTTCGTTTTGAATTTGTTCCTCAATTTCACTTTTTTATTTCAATGTCTAATGTAACTAAATAGTTTTATGTTCATATCATATTCATGATCTAAAATGGCTAGAAAATAGAAAATTTCCAAGTAGATAGGAAAAAGTGTGGAATGTGAAATTACTTACAAACTTACACTACTGACCATGATAATCACTGCCAGATAGTGGAGGAAAGTCTTAGCCTGAAAGCAGTGTGATTAAGAGTACTTGGTCTGCTCTTTTGGGCACACTACGTATGTTAGGAACTCTATGAAACAGTAGAATGTATTACTGGAATCTGTTTGAGAAGTCTTTCGTTAATTTTTTTGAGGGGGGTTACCAAGTGGAAAAACAAAACAAAAAGCAAATGGGACCCTTTGAAAAGGGCATCCTTCTAAATGTCTCTGTGGTATGACCAATATCTAGCATACTCTGGAACAGGGTTTGGCAAAATCTCTCTTTTTGTTGGCTAGAAGTTGGACTAGTTTAAATTAATTACAGTCTGACTCCGTTGGCAGGAAAAGTTTTTAAATGTTGAGATCACCTTAAGCTGTGTTTGTTGCAACATTTTGTGGAATCTTTTGGAGTTATGAATAATGCCAGTGGATTCTACGATAAAGAAAAACTTGGATCTAGAATGACAGCATTTCATCTTCAGATGTGTAGTAATACATTCTTGGTTATAAGACCAATATTTATAGTTATGTGTAGAACTGTTTTATTATACCTGGTTATCACAGTTCAATTCTCATGTGTTTCAGAAATACCTACCTCTTTCAAACTGTAAATGAAAAAACTGTGAATAAAAGGATGTCATGTAATAAATACACTGCTTTATTTTTAGCTAATATCTTTCATGAAGATATAAATTGATAATAGGCAGTACTATTTTACTTTTAAAAGACTTTTGGTAGAGATTTTTTTACAAACATGAATCTGATTTTATCTTACTCAACTCTGTTTAGCTTAAGTAAAGACATAATTATTATTATAACAGCTCCTGTGTCTTATTTGTAATTAATTTGACCTTAATAGTGTGATAATGAAGTTAAGATTATTACTAGAGATGGCTGATATTTGTCAGACCTTAAAACATAGTTAATTATTGCACAATTTAAATGATCTGAGTGGTGGAGACACAACCATCTAATAATTGGCAAAAAGGATTTTATTCAGCCAGAACTCTTTCAGTCCTTTTTCTCTCCCTTAAAGTCAGTGATTATAAGATTCCTATAGGGTAACTTCTGGGAAGGCTTAAATAAAACACAAGGACTAAGAATTTCTCTAGTATCTGTTGACCTTAGCATATCCAAATTTATTGGGAATGGTGTACTTTTTCAATAGAAGAGTGTGCTTGTATAAAAAAGCATTTTAATGTCTCTTTATTGAATTAGTTGTTTATGAACAAAAGTTAATTGAATCCTATACAAGTAAGAAAGCTTTTATTTTCTAGCCAACAGCCAGGGAGAAAGCTAGTATTTGTTTAAAACTGCTTTATTAAGACACTTATAAAAGTGTTTTAGTCCGTATTGTGTTTCTATAACAGAATTACCTGAGACTGGGTAATTTATAAAGAAGAAAAGTTTATTTGGCCTGTGATTCTGGGACAGCTGCATCTGGCATGGGCCTCAGACTGCTTCTACTCATGGCGGAAAGTGGCAGGGAGCCGGTGGGTACAAGCAGATCACATGGAGAGAGGAAGCAAGAGAGAGAAAGAGAAGGTGCCAGGGTCTTTTTAAGCAATGGGCTCTTGCAGGAACTAATAGAGGAAGACCTCACTCATTAATGCCCCCTCCCCCAGGGAGAGCATTAATCCATTCATGAGGGATCCACCCACATGACTCAATCAGTTTCCAGCACTGCCACATTGGAAATTTCCACATGAGTTTTGGAGGGAACAACACATCCAAACTCAATCATTCCACCCCTGGTCCCCCGAAACTCATGTCACTCTCACATACAAAATATAATCATTCTATCCCAGCAGTCCCCAAAGTCTTAGCTTGTTCCAGCACCAACTTAAAAGTCCAAAGTCCAAAGTCTCATCTGAGACCAAAAGCAAAAGTCCTGCCAGCTGTGAACCTGAAAAGCAAAACCACATTTATCAACTGCCAAGATGCAATGGTGGAAGAGACATTGGGTACACGTTCCATTCCAAAAGGAAGGAATAGACCAGAAAAAAGGAGAAGCAGGCCACAAACAAGTCCAAAACACAGCAGAGCAGACTTTTATATCTTTTTTTTTTTTTTTTGGTCTTTTTCGTGACCAGTAAGGGGAACCCTTGGCTTGGTGTCGACCGCACCGCGCTCAGCCACTGCTATAAAGGATCTGAACCCATGGCGGGAGCTTCACTGTGCTCTCAGCGCCACACTGTCCCAAATGTGCCACAGTGTCAGCCCAGACTTTATATCTTTTTTTTTTTTTTTCCTTTTTGTCTTTTTCCGTGTCTGGCAATGGATCACAACCCTCAGTATCGCCCCCGTACCGGACCGGGACCAGCAACGGGATCGCAACCCTCGGTGTCGCTCCCGCGCCTCGCTCAGCCAGTGAGCGGGAACCGGTCTATATGTGGGATCCAAACCCTCGGCGGGAGCGCCACCGCGCTTCCCAAGCGGCGCACTACAGCAGTGCGCCACCGGGCTGGCCCCCAGACTTTATATCTTAAAGCTACAAAATAATCTTCTTTAACTCCAAGTCCTGCATCCTGGGCACAATTGGGCATCTGGGTCCCCAAAGCATCAGGCAACCTCATTCCCACAGCTCTGCCAGGTGCAGCCCAGTGGGCTGTGCTGGTGCCTGCAACTTTTCCAGGCTGGTGTTCCACTCTGGTAGTTCCATAAGTCTGGGGTCTGGCATGGTGGTCCTGCTGCCTTGGCTCTACTAGACATTTCCCTGGTAGGGGCTCCAACCCCACTTTCCTGCTCAGCATTGCTCTAGTAGACAGACTCAGCAGTGGCTCCACCCCTGCAGCAGGTCTCTGCCTGGGCCCCCAGCGTTTTCCATACATTCTCTAGAATCTAGGTGGAGGCTGCAACACCTCCATGGCTTGTATGTCCTGCCGGCCTGCAGACTTAACACAATGTGGATGCCACTGAGATTTTGGGCCTCTAATCTCCAGGGCTACTGCACAAACTGCACTTTGGGCTGCTCCAGCCAGAGCAGCTGTGGAGCAGGGAGCAGGATCCTGAGGGCAGCTGCACCCCAGGTCTGTCCTCCAGGATAACTCAGTCCTTCTAGGCCTCCGGGTCTGTGATAGGTGGGGCACCCTTCCAGACTTCTCAAATGCCTTTAGGTCATTTTTTCCCATTGTCCTGGTTATTAGCATCTGGCTGTCTCACCACCAAGATAATGTCTTTAGCAACCAGTTTATCTGCTTCACCCTTGCATTGTTCTCTTGCTCTCTGCTTCTTTACCACATGGCCAGGCTGCAAAGTTTCCAAGTCTTTACGCTCTGCTTCCATTTTAAATTCTGGCTTTATGTTATGCTTTTGCTGCCATAACTCAGAGTAGGCTGTTAGAAGTAGCCATGCAGCGTCCTGAATGCTTTGCTGCTTAGAAATTTCTTTGGCCAAATCCTCTGGTTCACAATTCTTAAATTCCAGCTTCCACAAAGTCCAAGGGCATGGACACAATGCAGCCAGGTCCCTTGCTATGGTGTAGCAAGGGTTATCTTTTGTCCAATTCCCAAATAGTTCCTCATTTCTATCTGAGACCTCATCATCCGCATGGCCTTTACTGTCCACATTTCTATCAGCATTCTGCTCACCATCACTGCTACATTGTAGATCAAATTTCCACATGAGTTTTGGAGGGGACAACGCATCCAAACTCCATCAAAAAGATAGAGACAAAGAGTAAAGTTGGAAAATAGCAATTGCCAAGAATCTCTTTCTTTAGTGAAACAACCAAAAATTGGCAAAGACTGATAGAAACAAATCTTTTAGAACTCTGGAGTCTACTAAGAACTTGGAGAAACCAGGAAGTCTTCATTTACAAGAACGGACAGTTAAGTGTCTGTAAGTGTTGTGGCATTTTCCTTACTTGTCTACTATTCCATATATTTTCCAGCTTTGTGGCAGTGCGGGGCAGCAGCTCATGTTGCTGGCTTCAATGGTACAAGTGAAATCAGAAAATAAGATTAATAACAAAAACATAAGTTATAAAAACAGTACAGTAAGGAATTCTCAGGAGGGAAAATAATATCTATAAATGCTACATTAAAAGATAAAAAAGACTTCAAATCAATACGATATTTATACC